GGAGAGTACGCGTCGTATCCTGGAAGTCCTCGGCATTCTGTGATTCGTCTCCGAAATCAAACAAGAAAACAGATTATCAACAACAACAGAGAATTCAGGAAGCAGAGCAAGAGCAGGAGCAAGAGCAAGAGCGAGAGCGAGAGCGAGAGCGAGAGAGAGAGCAAGAGAGAGAGAGAGAAATGTGAACGTTAGTTGCTGCGATCCTGAATTTATACGCTTCCATTTCTCTTTGTTAGTTCGAATTTCAATTTTTCTTTGTCATTTCAAATTTTAAATTTTGCGAACGTTTAATTTTTTTCCGTTGTGTTAATTATATTATATAATTAGTTCTATATTTCTCTGTTATTTCAGATTTTCATTTTCCTAATTATTGGTTAATAAAAAATCGTCTGCACCGCAGCCTTCTCCGTCGACCGGATCCGGCGAGCTCTCCGACATCGTAGGCATCTAGCGCCGGAGAAGCAGGGTCTGTGGTTGGGGATCCCGATCGATCTCGCCATCGATGGAGATGGCGCCGATCCGAATCTGGAACAGGTCAAAGGCCGAGGCGGCGGCGGAGAAGTTCATCGTCGTGGCCGTCGAGACGAAGCTAGTTTGGCGATGCCGGTGGAGCTACAATCTGATCAGATTGAATTTGGCTGAGAACCGATGGCGATGGGAAACCCTACGTGATGGATAACAGCAATTACATCGTGGCCTGTTTCTGGGTAAGAATGCCGTCGAAGTGAGTATGATTGAAATTTTCTCTTTGAATCCTGCAAATGATTCAGCAGAAAGAGCTTAATGACCAAACTGTTGTTTGGTCCTCTATTCTGCTGCTGATAGGCCTGTGAACAAGTCTTCGTCGATGGGAGTGACATGTACCGGGATTCGAGATTTAAGTCGATTCCAAGCATTGTTCAGGCAAGTGAACTCGGCTGTAATGACATCATCTCCATTCTGATATTAGCTCCAAGCTCAAGCTTTGATTTGGCTGCTAGTTTTGATCCTGTGGCCATTGGTCTAAGTCAGTTCCAAGGATCCTTGCGGAAAGGAAAAGACGATAAGGATTCACGCTGTTGGTTCCCCTAGCGGCATGGGGTTTATGATCAGAGGAAGAACTTACTTAAAAGATAATGCAAAGGTAAGGTTTCGCTCTTTCTGAAGGAAAAATAAACAATCTTAAGCTTTTCCTTCTTCTTCTATTTTGTTTTACGGTCAAACATACATTTCCTCGAGATTGTATTATAAGAATGAAGGGTCTGGTTCTCCTGCAATATCACTGCCCTTTGTGTTATCGACATACCCCCCAAGTTTCTGTTTTTGTTCTTGTCTTATATTGCTGCTTGTGGTTTCTTTATCTCTACAAGTTAATTCCCTAAACTTAGGACAATTACCACATGGGTTTGACAGAATTCTGATTCCGAACTACATTGTCCTCAAATCTGACGATCCTGTGATGCGCTTTAAGAAGGGCTATCTTCTTGTAGTGTTATCAAAGTAAGTCCCCTTTCTTCTTCTTAAATTTGCTCTTTCGTTTGATCACTCTCTCACTTTTGAGAAACTTTTTTTTTTTTTTTTTTTTTTTTTACGTTCTGCTGAGGAGAATAAGGGACTGTGTACTGATGCTTCACACCAGATTCTTCACAGATAGCTTTGAATCGATTTGAAGTGTATTCAGATCCATTGTCTGATCTGATTACCTTTATTTTACAGTTGCTTTCATTCTCTACTTCATTCTTGAATTTCTGAAATATCTCATCCACCTCAGACTTATGTTTCATGTAATATATCCAACACATACGTGAGAAATCATCAACAAAGATGATGAAGTACCTACTCCCAATCAAAGATTCAACCGGCATAGGACCACATACATCTGTGTGAACTAGTTCCAACTTTTCTTTTGCTCTCCAATTTGAAGTTTGGAATGGCAATCTTCTCTGCTTTCCCATCGAACATGCTCTGCAGTTGCTGGAGTCTTTGATCGATTCTGGTAAACCAACTGCCAGACCATATCTCACAATATAACTGAGACCTTGATCATGATAATGTCCCATTCTCTTGTGCCAAATATCAGAATCTGTCACCTCACTTTGCATAGCCTCATGTTTCTCGATTGCAGGATTAAAACAGAAACTTTTATTCTTCATTTGAATCCTGAACAAAACATCATCTGTATCATTTCCAATGATACACTCATTGCTGTCAAAGACAACTTTGTACCCTTTTTCAATCAACTGAGCAACACTTAGCAGATTTTGGTCTATTTGTGGCACAAATAGAACCTCTGTCAGCAGCTTGTTATTCTTTGATCCATTGATTAGCACATCACCCTTCCCTTCTACAGGAATGTATTCACCGTTTCCAATCCTGACTTTGGACTTGAATGATGTATCTAACCTTTTAAACAGATTTCTATTCCCACTCATATGATTAGTGCAGCCACTATCAACCAACCAACCATTCTTCACAGCATTTGAAACAAAACAAGATGCAACAAACAGATTTTCTACCTCATTTGTTTCTGCAGGTTGAGCTTCTGCAGTTTGTGGCATTTTGCTTCGACAAAACTTTTCAATATGACCAGGTTTGTTGCACTTTCTGCATTTGAAGTCTGGTCTCTTCCAGCACTTCCAATGAGGGTGATTTGTTCTTGTACAATGCTTGCAGGGCTCATACACAACCTTCCTTTCTCCACCCTCATATGACATATTTCCTTGTTTCGATGAACTCGAATCATGTTTCGATTTCTGTTGGCTGAATTTTCCTTTGCTAGCCTTCCAGTTTTTTTCGGAGGCCTTCAATGCACCCTCTGCAGACTCATCTTTTCTCATGAGCCTTCTTTGTTCTTGTGCTTGCAAAGCACTTTGGACCTCTGCTAGTTTCAGGTCTGAGAGATCCTTGGTGTTTTCCAGAGATGCAATTGTGGCTTCAAAACGTTCTGGTACAGACACCAAAACTTTCTGCACAATTCTTTTATCATCAACATCAGTACCAAGAATTCTGATTTTGTTCACAATACTTACCAAGCGATCAATGTACTCCTTTACAGATTCACTTGATTTCATTTGTTGCCTGTCAAACTCTCTCAACAGGTTTAGCACCTTCATCCCTTTGATCTTTTCATCACCTTCATACTCCTTCTTCAAATAATCCCACATATCCTTTGCTGAGGTCAATTTCATGATCCTTGTGAATATTGCAGGGGTGACACCAGAAAATAGACAAGACTTAGCCTTTGCCTTCCTTGTAACCTTTTCTTTGTGAATCCTAATCTGATTCACTGTCGGATTTGCCTGTAATGGTGCCACATCATAATCTTCGACCACTGCTTCCCATAGATCAGTCCCCTCCATGAAAGCTTGCATTCTGACAGACCAGACTTGATAATTTTCTCCATCAAAAACTGGTGGTCCGGTTGAAAACAGACCAGATTCTGATGTTACAGATTGATCCATGTTCCAGCTTGTGTTTGTGCTCACTTCAGCCTCCAAGATCTGTTCAGCTCTGATACCACTGTTATCAAAGTAAGTCCCCTTTCTTCTTCTTAAATTTGCTCTTTCGTTTGATCACTCTCTCACTTTTGAGAAACTATTTTTTTTTTTTTTTTTTTATATGAACTTCATATCTTCCAAACGTACATATAAAAGCACACAAAACATAACTACTACAAACCAAATTTCAGCCCATACACCTAAAAATAATACCTGCTACAAAATATGTAACTACTCCATCTTCTTTTTTACCTGCTACATCAAAAAGAGTAACTAAACCAGTTTATGTTTCTGATTTCTTCAACAAAAAAAACTTCGACTTTAGTTTCTTCCAGTCTTGAGTCACTTTCAACATGTAGAAATGCTTATATATGTCTTTTTGATGATATAATGTCAGGTGATGGGTGGAGAGCCTCTTCTCAAACTTATAGCAGTGGATTGGTTAAACGTTGATAAAGCCGTAGATCACATTGCTCTTCATCCCAACTGTCTTGTTCAGGTGCTGCCTTTACCTGCTCTATGCTTTGATGGCCTCTTCTTCTATAAGAAACTGAGTAATTCGTCTGAGAATTCTCGGAAACTAGATTCCTGTCTTCAAATAAGAATATGGGAACACTTCTTCAAACCATGGCGTGCCCGATAATGATTTACTCTGTCAATGTTTCCTCCCGCATTGTGGATGAGGTTCGGGTACTCTCATATATCCGGGATATGATTATATTTGGAAAACAAAGAACGAAACAAACAATAATGATTTACTTTGTTGACACTGTTTGTTTCTGTTGTTTGGTTGCCTGATATGAACTTCTCTTGCTTGTAGTCAGAAGCAGGGAAAAAGCTACCCTTCATCCTCGTCACGAATCTTCAGGTTCGGTTAATACCCTATATAAGCTTTATAGGTGAAGCTGTTGTCCAAAGTTATGCTTCGAAACATGCCAACAAATGCAGACATTGAACTATGATCTTCAAAAAAATAAATTATGAATCTGCCGTTTGATAAATCTTTTTTTCAGTTAGTTTTTTGTGCTCTTAATTTCTGATATGTAACCACTTCCTCACATCTTTCGTTCTTTTTTTTCCTCCCTGGCAATCGTGTTCCATCCAAAGCTGAGGTTATATGTTTGTGAGTTGAGAGCTCGGGTCTAACTACGGCGGAGTCTGACACGTTTTTATTTCTCATGGCTGCCAGATTCCAGCAAAGCCCAACTGTTGTTTGGTCCTCTATTCTGCTGCTGGTAGGCCTGTGAACAAGTCTTAGTGACATGTACCGGGAATCGAGATTTAAGTTGATTCCAAGCATTGTTCAGGCAAGTGAACTCGGCTCATCCTTCTTGTCTCTGAAATTTTTGGCATGTAGCTGTCGCGGTTTTGTAACAATCACAGGGATGCTGGATGATCAAGCGGGCTGTCGGAACAAAAGCCTGCTTGCTCGGTAAAGCTGTGGCCTTGCAAGTACCTGAGGCAGGATAATTTCTTCGGTTTAATTCTCTGAAATTTTTGGCATGTAGCTGTCGCGGTTTTGTAACAATCACAGGGATGCTGGATGATCAAGCGGGCTGTCGGAACAAAAGCCTGCTTGCTCGGTAAAGCTGTGGCCTTGCAAGTACCTGAGGCAGGATAATTTCTTCGGTTTAATGGTGGCTCCGCCGGTGTTTGCGGCGTTGGGTGCGGTCGTGTCGTTCGTGCCGATGGGTCCTCTGGGTCTCTTCATCTCTTCCGTGTGGAAGAAATCGCGGGACGCTCTGAAACGCCAAAAGGCAGCGATTGATTCGATAGAAAGAGGGACATTTCTTGCTTTGTGTGAAGTGGCGAAAATTAAGGTGTTTATACACATATATTCATATACAAATTCATACACACATTTATATATATATATATATATATATTTGTATATGTACGTATGTTTATATATGTGTATGTATATATGTGTATATGTTTTGCTTTTGATTAATTTATATTTTTTAAATAAGAAAATGACATGATCCAAACCATTTCAGGAAGTTGGAGATGATCTTTCCGGAAGCTTTACATAAAAGTAAAATATTTTATTACATTGGATAAGTTTCGTATCGTTATTACTGATAACGTTATATTCGAGTTCAATTGTGGTTTCACCGCTACGACAAGTTCTATCGAAGCTAACAAACCAAGTCTATATCGATGTTGTGACCGCTTTTCAGGAGAGAGACTGATAATTGAAAAAAATTTAGTGAGAAGGTCCTCTGCTTTATAAATGATATTTTGATGTTTTTTTCGCTTCAAATGATAATTTCTTTGTCGGGACTTGGCTCGGAAGTGCAAAGAAGCTTATGATAAACCAAAACGAACGAAAACATGTAATAACATTTTCAACGTTTTCGATTTGAAGACTAATCAGACCTCAAAACACGAAACCTACCCACCACCACATAGACCCACCGGCCGGCCACTGCCGGCCGGAAAATTTCCACCGGGCTAGCCTACTTGCCTTGATGAGAGCCATGATGCTAAATAACCTTCAGATCAGACGGGGTTGCTTGGTTGGTGCTTTCCAAGCCTTAACCAGTTTCTCTTCTCTGAGTCCCTTCAAACGGTATGCACCCGTTCCTACTCTACCAAATAGATCATTGTGTATATATGTGTATACATATATGAGATCAAGAAATGTTTACAGGTTAACCAAAAAGATAAATGAAAAAAATCTCTTTACAGTTTCATAAATTGTCATCAGGATTATTATAAGATAGGTAAGTCTGCTGCTTTTGAGTAGTGATGCAACAAATCTGGTTTCTGTTTTGCATAAGACTTATGCCAGATACTTTAAAATTTCTTCTATAGGGAGAACAGAGAATATTAAAATCGAATTACGAGGTTATTATTATGCTTTCCTCCATGATTTTTATGTCCTCGGCTCTTGACCGCATTTGTCAATGTGCAGTTATACATTTCAACGAGAATATTCCATCCGCAAGTGATGCTGAATATATATATCCTTACTAGGAGCTGCACTGTACAAAGCTATGGCGAAAGGGTTGTTGTTCGCTTGAGAAATCTTTGAAGCTCCCGAGATTTTGGAGAGTTTTACTGAAACTCCATTTTTCTTTTCTTTTTTTCCTCCATAAAACCGGACAAGGTTTCGGGAACTATGGTTTCTCCAAGATCAGCTTTTTCCAGACATTTCTTCAGAGATTCGCAGAGAAGGGCTAATTCGGTGTTGGTGTTGAAGAAATCGTTGACGAGGTTGAGCACATCGAGGTTCGTATCTCTCTCGGAAGATAGGAAGAGCTTTCTGACATTTTCGTTCATGTCGTCGACGCAACCGGTTAGTTTATCGAGCGAGATTGATCGGATCCTGAGGCGATTGTAGCTGATGGATTCTGGGTTTTTTGGTTCGACGGGAACCCTAGGAGAAGTGGAAGGAGACGGAGAGCTTCGTCTCTTCAGCGCTGTCAGGACAGAGATTCTGCGTCGGCACTTGTAATGCAAAACTTGCGTGTACAAAGAAATATCTTTGCAATATACGATCATTCATTTTTGCTTATGCATGGTACAGTTACATGTAATATTATCGATAGCAAATCTTTCTTCAGGTCATCTGCGTATTTAATCTTTAGCACCATTTAAGATATTTCTTTGTAAGTTTGAGCTCGAACCCATTTGAGATAATCAGACAGCCTGTGTTAGAAAGACATGGCTAATTCCATCTCTTTCTCGATGAGAGAGAGAGAGATATTCAAGAGAGGTCAAGACGGAAGACTGGAGAAGTACTGGCTCCGAGGCGGCGAAAAATCCATCGATTTCAACAGCGATTTCTCCATCTCCTTCCATCTCCTTCTCCACCTTTCACAGATTAATATATATAGATAATTTTCCTAATCAAGCAGAAATTCAAACAGAGAAGAGCACTTACAAGGTATGAATCTTTGCTTTTCAAGAACTTACAGGTTCACATATGGTTCCACCCCGTGGTGTCCTTGGCCTCAAGTACTTCGTTTTTACCATTCTGTAGTTCCATCGGAACAATACCAACCTAAAAAAGAAAGAAAGAACTCAATGAACATTTTAAGCCCAACAACTTAATACGCTTCAACACAAAGATAACAAGTTTGAAATTTCAGAAAAGATTACCATCGTCATAAGCATGAGAGAGAGAGATTGATTTGATAAGAACAGAAAAGAGGACTAACGTGGGCTTCGGCTAAGTATGTCTCTTGATCGCACCTGTACAGAGTTTCCAGAAAATGTTACAAAGCTTCAAAGAAAAACAGGAAAGATGCAACTTTTTCTATAAAACCAGATTTTTCTACAAAACCAGACCTTCACGCGTGGAATCAGGAAGAAGCATGCAAATGAAGAAAAACTAGGTTTTCTGGCCTTGGGTTCACTAGGTGGGTAAACGTAGAAATCAGTACGGAGAAACCGAAATTAAGAGATGAGTAGCGGAGTCACAAGAAACTCCAAGAACCGGAAGAGATAGCGAAAGAAAAACCCAGATAGATTTAATCGCCATTGTAGGGGGAGAGAGGGGGAGAGAGAGAGAGAAATGATGGAATAAGAATCCAGATCCTCTTATTTAAGGGTCGGCATTTTCGCCCAAAAAGAAAAGACAGAGTGTAAGGGTATTTTCGATATTTCATAATAACCCAGTTTTTTCCATTAAAACGGTCAGAAATCAGGCCCATTTGAATTCAAAAATTGGGCCGATTACATGATTTACACGCAAACCCAAAAGATTGCAAATTTCTTGTCACTTATATTAATGTAAATATTAAGAACTCCATATGCCTGCCAGATTCAATTTTCAAAATACGTACCTCAGCATATTTGATTTTTGTGGGACAAGAATCTCCACACCTTTCTGTTAGTTCTATCATTCGACCACATCTCCAAGTGATTCCCGACTCATGTATGCTGTGATGATATCAGAGTGAGAGGCCTGTAATACATATACTGAAAAAGATGTTTGAATCTTAGATCAAGCCTCGTCCTCCGCCGGCGTAAAAGCGGGCGGCTTGAACGTCGGAGGCTTCGGCGGGAGATTTCCCAGATTCCTCTGGATATCATCGCACGTCCTTGTACATGAAGTGATAATCCCCCATCGAATCACCGATTCGCAAAGCCTTTTCGAACAGAGACAGATCTCTTCGAAACTTGGATCGAAAATAGCTTCTCCGCCTCTGGATGTTCTACTTAAATCTCTGAATAGCAATCCGGTTCACCTTTTTTTGTTTTCTTTTTCGGTTAAGAGAGTCAGAAATACTGAACCGGAGTTTAAATTAGTAGTAATGGACGATTCGGTATGTCGCGTTTCCGGTTTTCACCCGGTTCTTTTCGTGTACCGGAACCTCTCGACGATCCAGAAGCATCTGGCCTTAATTTCACAGAGCGTCTTCGGGTAAAAAGTAAAACCCACAACCTCAGATTGAGTACAATGTACGTTACACACGATTTACCACCTTCTGAAAGGCATTTTAACTGGAAACTCCCTGTTTTTACTGATATTCCAACCAAATCACTCAATAGGATTCATCGGGACAGCAAATTACAACAAAAGATAATACGACGAAAACATTTGATTGAAAGCCAAACAAAAATTTGACAACCAGGCGAATCACAGAATGCCGAGGATTTCCAGGATCCGACGCGTAATCTCCGTTCTTAAGAGGCGTAGCTCTCCGTCTCCTTCCCTTTCTTCTAGGGTTCCCATCGAACCACAAAACCCAGAGTCCATCGGCTGCCATGGCATCAGGATACGATCAATTTCAGAGTCATTAACGTTTCTTGTAAAGTATATAAACCGTATTGTTCAAGACTCTTCTTTTGCTCAAATATGTTGTCTGAATTCTCTGGATGAGTTCTACTTTACAGTCTTGACCTTGTGAATGATTTAGGATGTTCTTTGGTAAAAAAAATAACAATTTACGTAGTCGAAATGGACATGAAATTGTATATGGATGCTCTTGGATACAGTACGCCTTGGGGGTGAGGGATGTTGTTCTCTTAAATGTGTTTCAATGCTATGAATTCAAGAACCACAGAAAAATTCTGCAGGGTTCTGGATATTTTAGAAAGACTTGTAACAGTCTTTTTATTACTACAATACACACACAAATACTTGCAGATAACAACATATGTAGAACCTTAAATGACTGTTGTTGCAGTTATTTGTTCAGACATATCTTGAGTAACTTGAACCCGTCTTGGTTCCCTTCATACTCCTCCTTGATTCATGTTTCTGAAGAACTCAAATCTTCCAGGATGCAATCCTTTTGTGAATATATCCGTCATTTGTTCTTCAGTTTCTGCAGTAAACCAATTGAATCTCTTCCTGTTGTTGCACCTCCCTCAGTTGATGTGATGATACTTGATCTTAAAGTGTTCTGCTCTCCCATGGAACACCGGAATTTTTCAGAGATTGCAATTGTAGATTGATTATCTACAAACACTTTGCATTTCAAACCGAGGTCTTTCATAAGTTTCCTGAGCCATAAAACTTGTTTTGCTGCTGGCAACATATACAGTTCCTGATGTACTCTTCATGTCAATCACTGTCTGAAAATTCGATTAACTCAGATTCTTCATTCTTCTTGGATAGAATGCCATGTGGGGGAGTTTCATTAAATACCTTAGTATTCTCTTTGCTGTTAGAATAACAAGACAATGGATTTTTACAGCAAAGAGAATGTCAGGTACATGAGACAGCCAATGATTCTCCCTATACATCTTCTCATTTGTAGTTTCAGATTCTGAAAACTTGTGCAGTCTTTCATTGGGGTCGAAGGTTGTAGAAAAACAATGTTGCATCTTTGGTAGATGTCTTCAAGTGATCTTGTCCCTGTCAATGGAATGGAGGATCATCAAATCTATCGACAATGTCAGTTTCTTCTGTGGTAAACTGCAGAGGATCAGGAACAGGTTGTTGTTCAGCTTCTGAGTTAACCACTTCTCTGTCATCCCATTTTCATTCTTCACTTTGTTTCAGGTACATATACTCTATATGCCTTCGCAACCAAACTGTAATCGACCAAGATGCCTTATGTTGCCTTGTTGTCACGTTTGATTCCTAGGATCAATGAGAAACCAAAATATCTTCAGATGGCTTCATAAGGTGTCTTCAAACACAAAGATCTTGTAGGCAGCAGATTCTTCTCATGTAACATACACCTTGACATCTCTACTGACTGATTTCCTCTTTCACTTACCCTGTTTTGTAGGGGATTTCGGAGACAGTAAGTCTCGAGTCTTCCATCTTGATTCTTTCTCTCTCTCTCATCGAATCTCGTCCTCTCGGTCGAGCCTTGTCCTCCTGAGTCATCGCCTCATCCCCAAGTACATAAGGATCGGATAACCAACCATTACAAAAATGATCTTACCTTTTGTATTTGTCTCAGAATACAGAGACATAACAAATATCTATAGCTGGTAAAGATTATTCATGTCATACACGAAGGAAGATAATTTCATACAATATGCGGTTTTGCCCTTCAACAAAAGTATGCGACTCAACGAGAAAACGAGGGTATTTGTTAAGAATTATGAGGATATTATTATGATTTCCTCCACGATCTTTATGCAGCATTTGTTAATGTGAAGTGATACATTCAACGAGAATACTCTGCCCACAATTGATATCGAATATATATCTTCACTAGGATGTATATATATATCCCACTAGAAGCTGCAGTGTACAAAGCTATGTCCAAAGGTGACAAAGATGATGTCTCGTTGAAGTGTATGCGGACCCTAAAATTGGAAGGACCCCATATTTTTAATTTATTTTTTATTATAAAAATGTTAAATTTTAATTAAATTATATATAACATTAAAAACATTATCAAAACTCTTCACAAATATAAATTATTTATAAATTAATTTATAGTTATAATGAAGTATTTATTTAAAATGCTTCTAAATTATTTACTTTCATTATTTTATTTTTAATTTTATTGATAATAAATTAAATAAATAATTTAAAATCATTATTTTTATCTAAATTTAAATGAAATATAAATACAACAATATTCAATAATAAAAATTATATTAAAAAACTATAAATTTTAATAATTAAATTAATAATTTGTATACGGCCTCAATTTTTTTTGAGACGTGAGACGGTTCTAAATGTGTGCATACGTGCTTGCGACTCGGAGAATGAAGAAGATGGCTAAAACAGAGTAAACCTCGGTTTCAGGAAGAAACTTTGCGTTAGATATCATCGTATTGGAAAGGGGCCTAATTAACGAGCTCGGGGCAATTTGGCTATTTCGTCGAAGTCGATAATTGGCCTTTAAATTTCTGTTATTGGCTCTAATAGAGAGGGGTTCATCTTCGGAGACAACATCGAAATGTGGACACTTTACAATCTGGTAAAAAATGTATAGTTCACTAAAACTAGACAGATCACATGTGGACACTTTACAATTTCGGAGACAACATCGAAATGTACGGTATCTAGACTCGATATTTTCGGGGCATGTTGATGCTCGTCTTAACAAAAACTCAACCACGGTAATCTCGAGACCGATTTCACAAATCAAACCCCTTTTACCTATATATGATTTTTCTCGACCGATCTACACACACGCACATATATATATAGGTTGTGTTGGGATGTGCATGGAAGGGATAGAGCAGAACCCGATTGTTTACGAGCTAAGGTCGAAGATAACATTTAGATAAAGGAAAGTTTGTGTTGAAGTGATAAATGATAAAACCCGATCATGATACAATGTATAAAGTCTTTACAACTTTTCGGTATATTTTACTTTTCATGATTTGAACGAATGGTTGAAGAATTATACTTGAAGAAGATACAAGAAAGTGAATAATCGAATCAAGATAGCTTGGGAAATTCTCTACCACATTGTCTAAAATTGTATCGACGGAATCATTTTACATTTTTTTGTGCAAGAAGTTCCGTCTTTTTTCTGAGTCTCGTCTTTGCTTAGATACGTTCTTTTTTTTCCGCGTTATCTAAAGTAGCATTACATGGATTTCGTTGTCATGCTTCAAAATTGAGATCTGTCAATTCGCGAGCAAAATGAATCAGAAGAAAAATCGGATTCAAACACACTTCTCACACTGCATGGAACAAGATGAAGATTCTTGATTCAAGATTCGAGATCCGATTTGCCTTGAAACCATTTGTGGTATTCCCCCGAGAAAGTGATTGAAGCCATCAAATTTTTCCAGGAAGTTGGAGATGCTCTTTTAGAAAGCTTTACGTGCAAGTAAAATATTTTCTGACATTGGATAAATTTCATACCATTATTAAAAATAACGTTATTTTCGAGTTCAGTTGTGGTTTCACTGGTACGACGGGACTAATTTGATGCGACAAGCTCTATCGAAGCTAGCAAACCAAGTCTACATCGATGTTGTGGCCACATTCAAGGAGATAGAGATTGATAACTTAAAACGATTTAGCGAGAAGGTCCTCGACCTTATAAAAGATATTGATGTTCTTCTCGCTTCATATGATAATTTCCTTGTCGGGACTTGGCTCGAAAGCTCAAAGAAGCTTGACGTAAACCAAAACGAATGGAAGCATGTTGTGATCAACGAACAGATACTAGAGTGGGTTACTCCTTGCCTCGGGCGGAAACGTACTTCGGTCTCCTCGTGAAAAGCTTATGATAGAAGAAGAAGCGGAAGCTCGAGCTTGAGAGCTAGCGAAGAGGATGGATAGCTCGAGGAGAGACGATGGTCATTTCGAAACATCTATTCCGAAAATATTTCGCTTAATGTTTGAAATAGGGGTGATCATTTTAGTCGAGCCGATCCGAAAACATATGATCATGATTGAACTGAATTCGACGTAAACACCGAATGACTACTCTTTTTTTTTTCTTTCTAAAACTGAAAAAATAAACCAAACATAATAAAAAAACCAAAAATCTTCTTATATATAAAAAGTACAGTTTATGTAACGGGAGAATGACAAGTGTATTTTTATTAGAAATATGAAAG